CTTTCACCCTGAGAATTTCTCTGTGTGTTTCCAGAGAGACCTGAGCCCAGAGCCATGATCTTGGGCTCAGCTGGTGAGATCTTAATGTCAGAGTCTCTTGGGATGGGGCCTTCATCCTTGAGAAACTGCACGGCCCAGACGGGTCTTCCCCGACTGGAGGGTCTTGTTGATCATGCCAGATCTGACTTCAGGTGTCTAAGCCTTGTGTGAGAAGAATCTGTATCTCCCTTCTCCATGCACCCTCTCCGCATCCTCTTGGACCAAAGGAGATCCTGGGGCCCTGGGCCATTTAGAGACATGCAACTGACGCTGAAGCTTCCAAACTTCCTGCAAAAGCAGGAAAGACACGAGTTCTGAGAAACACAGTGAAAAAATTAAGAGAGACATTCCTGTATGTATACTCCACATCGCAGAGTGACTCATGTTGATCACACAGTGATCAGACACTTTCTAGAATTATATTCCCGCCAGCAAAGTAAAGTCGCTCCCCACCGACTGGTGTGAGCCAGCAAAGGGCATGGCTCAGCATTAGAAGCCTCTGTGTGTGTGTGTGTGTGTGTGTGTGTGTGTGTGTGTGTGGTCAGTCGCTCAGTCGTGTCCGACTCTTTTCCACTGCGTGGACCGCAGCCCACAGGCTCCTCTGTCCATGGAATTCTGCAGGCAGGAATATTGGAGAGGGTTGTCATTTCTTTCTCCACGGGATCATAGCGGTTGGGAAACCAGATGATGGTGCAGAACCAGAAACATCAACCACAAAGAGAACCTGGATTGTAATTCTTAGGATGTCTGAGTTATAGTTTTCCTTTTTAATTCCTGTAGGAAAAAAAAATCAGTAGCTAATATCAGAATATTCATCTGGATGTGTCATAATGGAGTCCTTATGAATGCATGTGTACTGATCTTATGAATGAATGAACCAGTAGATACATATATGAGTATCATACATATAATACAGTAATACATGTATATTTATGTGCAAATAGTAGAGTCTATCTCTCTGTCTCTCTACCAGGAGAGAGGAGTAGTTGCTACGGGTAAACAGGTAGCTGCAGTGACAGGAACCAGGTCAGCGGAGTGTTGTCACTTAAGCACATCTGAAGTGGGAAGCTCCTACCAAGGAGGCCGGGTCCACAGGGGCGCCGTGACAGAAGGCCTGGAATCACAGGGAAGTCCAGGTTTTCAGGTGGATGAGACGTGAAGGACTGGGGAGAAGTGTTCAGAGGCAAAGCGAAGGCAGCTTAAGTCATGCTCCCCAGGAGGAGGGATGCCAGCATGCGTTAGAAGTCCTGGAGGAGAACCACGTCCCGGTGGGGGGGGGGGGCGCCTAGTTCTGTCTGGAACACCGATGCCTATCCTGTGGGTGTGGCTGTCTGGTGACCGCTCTTGAAAGGGGTTTTGTAGGTGAGTCAAACTTCTGTGCTTCAGCAAAAATGTCTCCCCTAGTGCAGGAGTGGGGTGGTAAGTTCATATCTTGTGTGCATTTGCCATCCCAAGGCTGGATATAAATACGTTTAGCTTGGAGAGGCAGAAAATATATATACATTCATGCATATATATATATATATATATATATATCAAACTAGTAAGATGCATAAAGAAAGCATGCCCAAATGTTGTGGTAACCATGTAAATTAGTACAGATATTCCGGAGAGCAATTTGCAATGCATATCAAAGCTTAAACAGTGTGCAATATTTGACTCTGAAAGTTTGCTTCTAGGAATTTCTCTTATGAAAGTGATCAGAGGTGGGAATACTTAGATTGTAAGGATAATCTTCAAAAAACCATGTATGTTTTTCAAAAAGAGATGTATCAAACACACTTTGTTTTTATACAATAGAATCTGAGAAGCAATAAAAAGTCATGTTTCAGAAGGATATGCAATGATTAGAAATGTAAGACTCATCTCTGGATGATGGCTTATCAGTGGCTTATACTTTCTGTAGCGTAGCAATTATCATGTTTCCGCACACGCAACGGGTCCACAGTTAGAACCTGGGAGGAAGCACTTTGGCATCTTTTCTGTAGAACTAAAAACAATTGGGAATTCCCTGGTGGTCCAGGAGTTAGGACTCCTTGCTTTCACTACCAAAAGCCCTGGTCTGGGAACTAAAACCCCATGAGCTGTGTGTCGAGGCACCAATGTAAGAGTTGCTCCAGTCATGATTTCAAACTCATATTTGTTGTGTTCAGATGGACCTTAAATGAGAAAATACATTTGTTAAGTGAAATGACATTTTTTTCCCTTGACAAATCAACATGTATGGATCGTTTATTTCTCAAATAGATTTGAATATAAAGCTCTAAAATTTTTATTTTGTCTCATGTTTACCGAGAAGAGTTGTCTTGCAGTTGATTGACTACTGATGTCATGCTGTGTAAATAAAATAGAGATCGGAAGAAAACTATACCTTGGGCATCTATGTAAAATAAATGACAAATTAAGATAGCAGAGCCAAAAGGTTACTAGTGGTTGACTATGAGATCGACCGACAAAAAAGGTCAATGAAACTATAGGAAGTAATCACATGAAGAGACGTTTAAAACTGCTAGAGTTCAGGTACTGAATACTTAGTATGCTTAGTAATCCAGTATATTGCTAAAATTCAAATTGCCATGCGACATACCTTATAAAAACACCTTACATTTAAAAGAATGACTGTGCAAGTGTTGACAACGTTGTAGAGGGCCTGAAGCTCTCATACACTCCTACTGTGATTGTAAGATGGTACAACTGTTTTGGAAAAGAGTTTGGACGTTTCTCAGAAACTTGAACGTACACCTTCCGCATGACCCAGGCATCAACTCCTGGGTATTTACTCTAGAAAAATGAAAGCGCACTTCCATGCAAATATTTCTACACATGTTCATAGCGCTTCATTTGCAAGAGCCCCAGACTGAGAAAGAAAAGGAGGAAAACCGAAATGTCTGGGACTCACTTGGTGGTCCAGTGGTTAAGAATCTACCTTGCGATGCAGGGGACATTCAATCCTGGTTTATCCCTCGTTGGGAAACTAAGATCCCACAAGCTTTGGAGCAACTAAGCCTGTTTGACTCAACTACTAAGCCTGCTTGCCACAACTAGAGAATCCTTGTGCTGTGAGGAAAGATGCTTCATGATGCAATTAAGATCCATCCATAGGGTCACAAAGAGTTGGACACGACTGAAGTGACTTAGCACACACGCGTGGACTACAGCCTGCCAGACTCCTCTGACCATGGGATTCTCCAGGCAAGAACACTAGATGCCCATCAGCAGACGAATGGATAAGGAAGCTGTGGTGCATATACACCATGGAATATTACTCAGCCATTAAAAAGAGTTCATTTGAATCAGTTCTAATGAGATGGATGAAACTGGAGCCCATTATACAGAGTGAAGTAAGCCAGAAAGATAAAGACCAATACAGTATACTAACGCATATATATGGAATTTAGAAAGATGGTAATGATAACCCTATATGCAAAACAGAAAAAGAGACACAGATGTACAGAACAGACTTGTGGACTCTGTGGGAGAAGGCGAGGGTGGGATGTTTAGGGAGAACAGCATTGAAACATGTATATTATCAAGGATGAGACAGATCACCAGCCCAGGTTGGATGCATGAGACAAGTGCTCGGGGCTGGTGCACTGGGAAGACCCAGAGGGATGGGATGGGGAGGAAGGCGGGAGGGGGGTTCAGGATGGGGAACACATGTAAACCCATGGCTGATTCATGTCAATGTATGGCAAAAACCACTACAATATTGTAAAGTAATTAGCCTCCAACTAATAAAAATAAATGGGAAAAAAAAAGAAAAAAACCCCACAAAACTTAAACTTTGGTTGCTGTGCTCACATCATAGTGTACAAGCATCATTTATAGTTTGGCTTTGAGAATTACTCTGGGGTTAAGTTTATAGAAAAATGTATAAAACAAACTGAAGTTTTGGTTCTATTTTTAAAATTCTAAAGTTAAAATTTGATTAAAATGGTCACTGATCAAAAAAAAAAAAAAAGAATACTGGAGTGGGTTGCCATTTCCTCATCCAGGGTATCTTCCCAACCCAGGGATCGAACCTGCATCTCCTGTGTCTGCTGCATTGTAGGTGGATTCTTTACCCACTGATGCATCCAGGAAATGCACAGTGGAATATTACTCGGCCATGAAAAAGAATGAAATATTGCCATTTGCAGCAACATGGATGGACCTAGAGATTATCATACTAAATGAAGTGAATTGGAAAGAGAAAGGCAAATATATGACTCAGTTATTTATGTTGTATGCTGTTTCTGCTGCTAAGTCCCTTCAGTCGTGTCTGACTCTGTGCGACTCCATAGACCACAGCCCACCAGGTTCTTCTGTCCCTGGGATTCTCCAGGCAAGGATACTGGAGTGGACTGCCATTTCCTTCTCCAACACATGCATGCATGCTAAGTCGCTTCAGTCGTGTCCGACTCTGTGTGACCCTGCGGACAGCAGCCCAGCAGGTTCCTCTGTCCACAGGATTCTTTAGGCAAGAATACTGGAGTGGGCTGTCATTTCCTCCTCCAATATATGTTGTATATATAAAGTTATATATGTATAACTGAATCAATTTGCTGTATGCCTGAAACACAACATTTTAAATCAACATATAATTGATTAAAAAATATTAGTTCTCTCAAAAATAAATAGTTAATCTCAAAAATAAAAACAATGCTTACCCTATGACCAGGCGATCATCATGGGAGGGAGTGTTGGCGCTGTGTCCCTCTTAGAGGGTGCTGGGAGGGGTCCTGTCTCCTCGGTAAGTCCCCTGCAGCAGGCCTATTGGTGATGCGTGTCTGGGTCTGTGCCCCGTTGCTCCGAGAAGCCTCGGGGATGGAGTGGGCCCCTGGCACTTGTCGGGGGCCCCTCCGCTCGTCTCCTCCCCACCCCCAACCCGCTCTAACTCCAGGGCGGGGGCTGCCCGGGGCTCAGCATCCTTGGAGAACCCCTGCCTCCTGATGCTGCTTGTAGGGGGCGGCAGCCCGGCGATGCCTGAGGCAGCCCTGGAGCCTCTGCCAGCAGCCTGCGCCCCAGGTCGGGTGAAATTGCGGGGGAACGCAGGCCATCATCCCAGAAGCGCAGGGGTCTCCCCGCTTTACCTGGGGCTGCCCGGTGAGCCTGCCAGCCTGGCTGCCCGCCGACCCAGAGCCAGGCGTCCCGGAGGCTTAGGGGCCCTGTCTGTAGTGCTGGGGGAGGCACCTGGGCGCAGGAAGCACATTTATGTCCTCTCGGAAGTTAAAACGAGATAGCCAAGCCTGTGCTGTGACGCTTGCTGGCTTCTGTTCAGATTCTATGTGCAGATACTAGCGTTGGATTTGTCTCGGTGGCGGCTGGCTGGACCCGCGAGATGGGCAGCCCGGCTCTGCTATAGACAACGCGAACACCTTCAGGCACCTGAAGGGCAGAGCCCGCAGGAGAAGTTGCCCCGGGCCCTCCAGCAGCCTCCTGGGGGCGGGGGACCGGGGCCAGACGGAAGCTGCACCCCGTGGCCCCGCTGGAAGGCCAGCTGACTTCTCCCGTGGGCAGGAAGAGGCCGGCTCTTCCAAAGCCGCATTTCAGAAAAAGGCAGGAGAGGCAGAAAGGTCTAAAGGCCAGGGACGGCAAAGGGCATAATGGGCCTCGTTCTGCTTTTAAACCCGGATCTCAGTGTTACAGACTCATCAGTGACGCGAAATGTGACCCTTGGATATTCAGCGCGTGCCCTCTTAGGCGCCCGGAGGGAGGGGGGCTGGGGTTCCCTGGACGGCAGGTGTGGTGGGCAATTCTACAGCAGCTTGGCGGGACTGAGATGCTGGCTGTTACATGACGGGCCATCCAGACGTGGCTCTGAGTTACCCTGTAGATGTGATGGACACTCACCATCACTCTGCACCAAGTGAAACGTCTAACCCTCACTCTGTGGGTGGGCCTCATCCAATCCGTTGAAGGCCTAAAGCGTGAAACTCAGGTTTCCCGGAGAAGAAGGACTTTGGGCTCAGGGCCGCAAGCTCAGCCCCTGACTGTCCTGCCTGTGTGTCCAGCCGACCCCGCTGTGGATTGTGGACGCCCACGCTGTCCCCCAACCCCCCGCTTCACGAGCCAGTTCATTAAAATAAGTCTCTTTCTCTGCATCTCCTATTGATTCTGCTTCTCCAGAGAAACCTGACTGGTACAACATGGGTGGGAAAGTCTTTACAGATAAAAGAGGATGCTTTCACAATTTTCTGGTAGAAGACGGACTTTTGAGCAGTTGAGGCCCTTGCGTCCTTTACTCTGACTCCAAGCGCAGAGGCTGAGGCCTGGGCTGGGTCCCTACCGCCCCTCTTGTGGGTCTCCCAGCTTTCTGGGTCCCGTGGACTCAGCTGCCCTGCTCCGGAGGCTGGTGGACAGTGTCAGCTAATTCTGCAACACGTGTGTCTCAGGGGCACATTCTCCCTGGCTTTAAAGCGCTGTCTTCATAATCCTTGGGATTAGAACCGGCAGGAACCCCAGCTCTCCTGGCAGGAGTGGATTTGCATCTTCAGGGGAACACCCCGACTCCCTCAGTGGGGTGGGTCTGTTCCAGGCGTTTGCTTTGGAGGAGTGTGTGCTGCAGCTTATCTCTAAAGCATCCTACGTCATCCTCACCCTTGCTGAAGGCAGGGCATGGCACCAAAGGGACCCTCCTTCTGATTCCACATTAAACACAGACTCGTTTCTATTTTCTTGCCACCTGGGAAGCGCTGACTCCTGGTAGTCCCGAAGCCTTCAGAAGTGGTGGAGTTTAGCCATGCTGGGTCAATATTCCCCAAGCTTTGATCTTTCCAGTTTCAATGTGAATTTTACATCTTTCTTTCCAGCAGACTTTGTTTTTCTCACAAAAGGCTAGGATTCAGCCTTTGATAAATTCTCATTTGCAGAAGGGATGGTAAAAGGAGAAAGAAAAGCATTTGGGCTCTTACAATAAAAAATAATAAGGTTTTACCCTGACACTTCACCATGCGATCATTTTGAAGTCTGAAGGGTAACACACACACGCACACATACACACCACCCTTCGAGCATAAAAGAACTGGAATTAAATCAGGCACTATGCAAGGGGATGGAGCCCAGAGGAGAGAGATGCTGCAAAGGCCCTGACAAGCCGTCTCTTTATTCTCTTGAGCTAATTGTGTCCCTTGACACACCAGTATCAGGAATAGTGAGGTTCTGACAGGCTAATTTGAGCTTGTGGTTCCAATGAAATGTACATAAGGCACTTGTTATATTTAGTGACAATCAGTGTCATTTTCTGTTTAAAAGCAATCCGTTTATTTGCTTGCCTGTGAGTGCAGAGAGCCCCTTGGAGGGAGTCAGAGGTTTAGACACGGTCGGACGATGGGGAGATAGAGACCAGAGGGCTTAGGGGAGGTCCTGGCTGTTGGCTGCTTGGGGTCACCCTGAGGGCAGGCCCTGAAAAACTCGCTTGCCTTTGATACTGAAAACCAGCTCATGCTTTGCCTGGGTGATCTCAGTCCCTATTTGGCAAGACCTTACAGATTTCGACTAGCAGAGATTCAGATGGTGATTTTATTTTGTTCGAAGTCCTACTGGTGGCTTTCAGTAGAAAGTTGAAAGCAAATTACATGTGGATTCCAGGAAATGCCTATAAGGTGTTCCAACAGAAAAAAAAAACAAAAACCTATAAAATGAGAAGGGGAGCGGAATATCTTTTGCCAGTAGGTGGCAGTGTCGAGCCAGGCAGAGCGGGCTTCCTGGAACTGGAGGAATAGGGCGTTCGAGTTGCATAAAATTTCCCGTTGGCACAGAAGGTGAAGTCAAGGGTTGTAATAAAGACCGCTTTGAGCCTTTGAAAATGCCTCGTGTCAGCAGCAACCAAGACTGACCCTTTGGGAAAATAAATAAATAAATAAATAAAGCTCAGGACCCAGGCCGCAGAAGACAGTGCTGAAACAAGGTCTGAAACAGTTGCAGTGATGTCTGATGGCATGGGTGAGGGTAGACCTCGATGTTTATTCTGGTCATAAAGTGGCCACATTTCCTAGGCAGGCGGCTGGCAGTTTCATCTCATCGTGAAAGAGAGAGTCATATTACCTTTTTTATACAGCTTATTTATCTCAGAGAGATAACGAAGATATCCTTTTTTTTTTTTTAAACTAAGATATTCTAAATAACATCTATCTCCTAAACCTGTGTGCTTCCCACCCCGAGGAATCTTAGTCCTGGAACAGCAAGGTCAAGGTAGTATGTAATTGCTGTGCCAGATGGGAATCTATTTCTGCCAACGAGGATTCTAATTTCGTTCTTTCCTCTATCTGGTACTAAATTGACTCTGCTTAATAGAACCACATGCCACCAAAACCACCACTCCCTGAGCGATCTGATTTGTGCCTAGCTTGTAATATTTCAGAAAAGCCACCTTTCTAGATTGAATGGGCATGAAATAGCAATGCTATAAGAGCAACTAAGTTCCAAAGAGGCTGCGGAAGATTCAAGCACAGTATAAACTAGGCTGAGACTGTTCTGCGATCCTATAAAGCCTGACCTGGGGGATGGGCCCTGAGGTCCCAAGCTGCTGTCATCCTAAGTTGCTATTTCCTTAATATTGAGCTTGCATTGTCCCATTAAGATTTTGTTTGTTGTTGTTGTTAAAAATTCTTTCTTGAGCCAATTTATTTCCCCCTGACTGAGAGTGATCATCAGCTAAAGCTGTAGCAAAGCCCCCTCACCCCCCAAATCGCTGCAGTTTCCAGGCGATGAAAGGTAATCAAGTCGGAGGTGTGCTGCCTTCTCAGACAGGGGTCCTGCCCTGAGGACCTGGGGACCTGGCTTCCTTCCAGAAAGATGTGTTAGTCCCCTTTTTGTTAGGGGACAGTGGAGCTGCAGACAGAAGCATAGGAAATGGGGCTTCACAAACTGTCGAGGAGAGAGGTCCGAAGGTTCTAAGTGTGGTCAAGATGGAGTTCTGCGCTGGCCAGTCCGATTTGGGAGCCCCTTACTTCATTTGGCTTCTTTTTTTCTTGCCAGAGTGACCTGCTCTGAATACCAGCCAAGTCAGAGTGCTGTAGAGGCAATTATGGCAATTTTCCAGAGGGAATCCAGGCTTGGTCAAGTTTGTAAACCTCAGGAGATAAATTCTTCATTTATTACCCATTTGGCTTTTCAAGTCGATGCTTGTTGTTGCTGTTGTTCAATCGACCATCCGTGTCCAAATCTTCACGACACCATGGACTGTAGCATGCCAGGCCTCCCTGTCCCTCACCATCTCCTGGAGTTTGCCCAAGTTCACATCCATTGCATCAGTGATGCCATCCAGCCATCTCAACTTCTGATGCCCTCTTCTCCTTCTGCCTTCAATCTTCCCCAGCATCAGGGTCTTTTCCAATGAATCGGCTGTTTGCATCAGGTGACAAAAATACTGGAGCTTCAGCTTCAGCATCAGTCTTTCCAATGAGTATTCGGGGTTGACTTCCTTTAGGATGGACTGGTTTGATCTCCTAAGTTAATGCTGCTGCTGCTGGGTCGCTTCAGTCGTGTCCGACTCTGTGTGACCCCAGAGACGGCAGCCCACCAGGCTCCCCCGTCCCTGGGATTCTCCAGGCAAGAACACTGGAGTGGGTTGCCATTGCTTTCTCCAATGCATGAAAGTGAAAAGTGAAAGTGAAGTCGTTCAGTTGTGTCTGACTCTTGGCGACCCCATGGACTGCAGCCCACCAGGCTCTTCCGTCCATGGGGTTTTCCAGGCCGGAGTACTGGAGTGGGGTGCCATTGCCTACTTTCCTGCAAATCCGCAAGTTCACTGCATCCCAATGCATACAAGTACTGCTCCGGGCAAAACCTCTTGCCCTCACGTGCTCTGTGAAGAGAGCGGGTTTGGAGTGAGAAGCTCTGATTTCGTCTCAGGCCTCCGCTTTGCTCATGCTGGGCTCCGCTCCTCACCCAGGCCTGGCAGGGCACGCTGACTCACTTCTGGAGCATCGTTTCAGGAGGGAGAGGGGTTGTCAGGCGTTCTGCTCCCCTCAGTGCTTCTTGAGGGTTATCCGACCACGATTCCTCAACAATGCCTTCCCTTTTTGATCATCACCACCTGATTACATCGCCCTCTTTAAGCGCCTGGCCCTGGTTCACTGGCTGCTAGCCTATTGGACACTTTCTTCAGGGGAAGTAGGGAGTCTCTCCACCGTGTCACAGGGCCGTCAAGCATCAGAGGGAAGATGGGTGGGTGTCCCACAGCATGGCAGCCATGACTTTCTGCTTCTGGATGCACCACAGACTCCCACTTTCTCTGCTCAGCCATTTATCCATCTTCCTTCCCCACCATCTTAGAGGGAGAAGGATCCTCACTGTCAAGGTTGACCCTTCCAGTTGGCGTCTGTGTCCTTCAGGATTGCATTCTTTCAATTTTCCCTTCTGTCCTGCTCTTACTTCAACATTCTCCCTTCCCACTGCCCCACCTTTGCCTTTATACGTATTTCCCAAAAGAATAAAAATGGGCAAACCTTTCCTAGGGCTTCCCAAGTGGCTGGTGGTAAAGAATCTGCCTGCCAACCAATACAGGAGACTTAAGAGAGGTGGGTTTGATCCCTGGGTTGGGAAGATCCCCTGGAGGAGGGCATGGCAACCCACTCCAGTCTTCTTGCCTGGAGAATCCCATG